CTGAGGGCGGCGGCGCGGGCGCGGCCTTTGGGGCTACGGATCAAGTCTACTCTTGGTTTCCGCTCGGCTTCTTTTCTCAGTCACATCCGGAAAACCGGAAAGTGCCGGCAGGACCAGACCGACGGACAGACCCACCCACTGCGCCCCACCAGTGTATGGCCACGAGGGCGCCAATTCCTCCGTGGGCCCCGCCCATTAAAGCGGCTACTGCCTCCGCCCGTCTGGACCTATCTCACCAAAGTGAAAAGTTGGTGTTTACCTTTTGGGGAAGGAGACACACTCCCCTGGGGCAGAAGAGATTCCAAGGGGAGAGTCATACGGAACTCACATGTCCTCACGCGGGAAACGCCTCTTAGGCCAGGCCCGTGGCGTGCAGTGTGGCAGGCCCCGGACCCCTGGCTTAGCCCTTGCAGAGTTGTGGATGCGCGCCCGCGATCAGCGTAGGGGCCGTGCCAATTTCACCCCCTTTAACCGCCTTGCATCCTGATTTTGTGTCTCCAATCTAGATTCCCGACTCACTGATGTGAGACTTGCAGGATTGGCTGGAAGCCACAGCCCAGCCTCCCGATGCAGTCTGAGTCCAGCCGGTGTGAAGAGGAGACCCCTTCCCTCCTGTGGGGTTTGGACCCTGTGTTTCTAGCCTTTGCAAAACTCTACATCGGGGATATCTTGGACTTGAAGGAGTCGTGCCAGGTGCCAGGTATGTGATTGGTCGCCTGGTGGATGCCCTGTGCTGCATCTGCACCCCTCCCGCCCCCCAAACTGAAGAAACCTGGGGCTTAGGGGCTTGCAGGAAAGACTTTCCTCCAGCAGGCTTTGCAGATGGCCTGGACCTCAAAAGAGGTCATTTCTGTGCAACTTAAAAACTGTCTAAATCTTTTTTGAAACAGGTGTTTGGAGGAGTAACCTTTGTAATGATGAATGTTTTTACCCGGGTTTGACGCCTTCCATATTTTAAAATGCCCAGTTGTTTTTCCTGGGTCTCTCTTGGTGGAAAAGCTCACTGGACCAGGCATCCCTAGGCCTTGCACCCTTTCCTGACTGTGCCACTTACCTGGCCTGGATGTGACTCACCTGTAAAGCTTCCTTGTAAAAATGGGGATTAACCTGATTTCTTGTGGGATTTTGTTTAGTTTTGAATGCACATCAAATTTTGAATTTATGTCAAAATAATATAAACTCCCTGAAAGGAAGGGCATCATCTGCCTTGTTCACATACACTGAGTGGCCACAGTATTGAAGGCAAAAGGTGGCCCAACAAAGTACTGATGGGGTGGTCATAATAATCTGGCCACTCAGTGTGTGTGTGTGTGTATTATATATATACATACATACATACATACATATATGTATATATATCCCACGTTCAAAGGCTGTTAAATCGTGTTGTTTACCCATATCTTCAGAAAAAAATCACTTCTACTGTCGTGGTAAACAACCTGCTTCCCTATTTATAATGGTCTGGCCCTCTAGCAACTTCAGCGCAAAATTATACCTAATTTGCCTACAAACGTCAGGTGGTCATAATAATCTGGCCACTCAGTGTATATACTACCAGTCCTTAGGATAGTGCCTGGCATGTAGTGGGCCCTCAAGAAATAGTAATTAGCCCTAACCGGTTTGGCTCAGTGGATAGAGCATCAACCTGCGGACTCAAGGGTCCCAGGTTCGATTCTGGTCAAGGGCATGTTCCTTGGTTGCTGGCACATACCCAGTAGGGAGTGTGCAGGAGGCGGCTGATGGATGTTTCTCATCGATGTTTCTGACTCTCTCTATCCCTCTCCCTTCCTGTCTGTAGTAAAACAATAAAATATATTTAAAAAAAAGAAATAGTAATTAGAGCAACAAAGCATTTTAAGTGTAAAGTTAAAGAAATCACTTTTTTTTTTTTTTTTTTAGAGTAGGGGGTCATTTAAGATAGGCTCTTTCCTTTGTGTTTGGTCAGTGCAGGCACTGCCCTGGCAGAGGATTGAGTGTCTCACCAAAGGTACTAACTAAGACCTGGATTTTAATGGTAAGAACTCAGGAGAAGTCAGTTGGAACTGCCGTGCTCTGGAAACGTAATGGCTTTTCTGTGGAGCCTGTTTGTCCTCGTTCAATTCAAGTGTTTGTGGTTAGGGATGACACAGTGACCCAGGCTCTTTCCCATGTGTGGCCCTGCCATTTCAGCTCATGGCCCCCAAGGTTGCCCTGGACAGATCTCCAATCTACTAAGTATCTTTTGAAGTCTGACTCTAGGGTAAATTTTGGCTAAATTTGCCATCTTTTCTTCAAACCACATCTCACTCTTCCAGAATTTCTGGCTAACTGGGACTCAGAATCTCCTTGTCCATCCCCTGCGACTCTGCTGTGAGCAGCTCACCCCCAGCCCCTTGATCCACGTGGAAAACAAGAGATTTGTTTGTGGAGGCCAGTCTGGGGTTTCTGAAAGATGTCAGGGTTCAGGCCTTGGGTCCCTCATGGATGTGGAGAAGAAAAGTTCTGACCAGGCTTGAGGGTTGCGGGGAGGTGGTCAAATGCCCAAAGTGGTAACTGATTCTATATTTGTAATTCTTTTATTTTTATTTTTTAAAGGAAGTCACCATTTAAAAGTTTATAGCCTTCTGAAAGTAAAGAATTCATCCATAGAGGAGAGAAAAGAGAGGATTTTTGTTAGGACTCTTTAGCTGCAGGTGACAGGAACGCAATGCAAATAGCTTAAGCCAGAAAATTCAGGCAAGGATATCGAGGGGCCACAGAATGGAAGCCAGCTCTGCAGGAGCCAGGGCAGCACTGGGACCTGGGTTGGAAGCAGGCACTCACCACTGCCAGGAGTCCTCTGTCTGAGTCCAGTCCCTGACTCCAGAAAAGGCCTCTGGGTATTAGTGGGTAGGGCTCATCCTCTCAGGTGTCTCCAGCAGGGAACTTGCCTACTGGCATCTGTCATCTAGGTTTGAAAATAGAGTTTCAAAAAGTTTTTGAGCCCAACCAGTGTGGCTCAGTGGTTGAGCATCAACCTGTGAACCAGCAATTCATAGTTTGGTTCCCGATCAGGGCACATGCCCAGGTTCTAGGCTCCATCCCCAGTGGGGAGCATGCAGGAGGCAGCCAATCAATGACTCTCATCATTGATGTTTCTATCTCTCCCTCTCCCTTTCTCTCTGAAATCAATAAAAATATATTTTAGCCCTAACTGGTTTGGCTCCGTGAATAGAGCATTAGACCCTATGGACTAAAGGGTCCTGGGTTTGATTCTGGTCAAGGGCCTGTACCTTGGTCAGGCGCGATCCCCAGTAGGGGGTGTGCAGGAAGCAGCTGATGTTTTTCTCTCATGATGTTTCTAACTCTCTATAAAAATCAATAAGATATATTAAGAAGAGAGAGAGAGGGAAAAAAATTATATATATATTTAAAGTTTTTGAGTTGTAATGTGTTGGCCCCAAAGCATAGTGTTTGGTAACTTAATTATATTCTCTTACAAAACCCCCCAAAAAACAAAAGCTACTGCTAATTCATGGACATGATGACTGGTTTCCTTGAAAAGCACCGGTGAAAAAGTCAAAGAAGCCTTTCTCCTGGTTTCCTCTTTTTCCTTTTCCAGTCCCTCATAATACAGTGCTAAGTTTGGTTCTGTAATATAATGACTGTTTTCAGGCTCTTTATGAGAGTTCTACAGGGAGGTACATTTAATTTTCACAAGTGGAAGGAAGATTAACCAAATCCAGTTGGGCAACATTGGTTTTCCTTTTTCTGTACTAGTACATGCTTCTTTATTTTTTTCATTGATTTTTTTTTTTTTTTTTTTTTTGTATTTTTTTTTTTTTTTTTTTTTTTGAGAGAGGGGAAGGAAGAGGGAGAAACATTGATGTAAGAGCAAAACATCAGTTGGCTGCCTTCTGCATGCCCCCTCCTGGTGATCGAACCCACAATCTGACATATGCCCTGACCCAGAATTGGACCGGTGACCTCTTGATGCACAGGTCAATGCCCAACCAACCGAGCTACACCTGCCAAGGGTAGCACCCGCTTCTTTAGAGCCAGGCTTTCTCCTTATGACCCTTGAGGAAAAGACGTCTGATTTCTTGGGGCATGCGGTTTGTCAAGGGCTGATTCTTAAGTCTGGAATTTCAGTAAGCAGCATGCCACAGATTTTTTGACACAACCACCCACCCCCACCCTCATCCCCACAGTTAACAGTGATTGAAACAGAAAATGTAATAATACATTATATGGACTTTGCCTTTTTTTTTTTTAAATTTCAGGTGTATTTTTTTACAATGGGCATCCAATAAGACAAGTAGATATCTTGGGAACTGTAATTGGAGTGAGAGAAAGAAATACTTTCTACAGTTACGGAGGTAAGAACAATTGTGTCTGACATTGAGTTTATGTGGAAGGACCCCCACTTATTTTTATGCTGGATTTGAAATAACCCCAGCCTTTCAGAGCAGCTGGGGACTCTCACAGACCCCCATGCACTGTCCTCTATTGCAGTGGTTCTCAACCTTGGCTGCACATTAGAATCACCTGGGAATCTTTTTAAAATCCTGATTTCTGGGCCTCATCCTCCAGTAATTCTGTTTCTTTGTTACGGGGTGAGGCCACAACATTAGTAACAAAGAAACAGAATATCCGGAGGATGAGGCCCAGAAATTAGGATTTTAAAAAGATTCCCAGGTGATTCTAATGTGCAGCCAAGGTTGAGAACCACTGCTCTATTGGGAGCCCCTTGGAGCCCCTGACATGGACTAAGTGTAAAATGAGGCAACAAGTCAGAATAAATACTGTCAAGTGACAGCTGCGGGGAATTCAGAGGCAGAAGAATTAAAGTACGGCAGTCTAGGATCACCGGTTGATCAGAGACAGGTACCTGATACCTGAGGACATAGGTATAAATAGCAAAGGATGGTAAGATATGTTTATATTGATATCTTTAAAAAGAAGAAGCTAGATTAATGCTAAAGTAGACCTTCAAGAAGGCAAGGAGGTGTGAAAAATTAAGTTGTAAGATTTATATCCAGAAAAGTTTTTTTAAATATGTTTGTATTGATTTTCGAGAGAGAGGGAGAGAGAGGGATAGAGAGAGAGAAACACTGATCGGCTGCCTTCTGCACCACCTCTACTGGGGATCGAGCCCACAATTCGGGCATGTTCCGTGACCAGGAATAGAACTGTGACCTCCTGGTTCACAGGTCGACGCTCAACCACTGAGCCACACCAGCTGGGTCAGAAAAGTTTTTTTAAAAAGCCTTTTGCTACTTACAGAGTTAAATATGCATTATCAGAAAATTTCTCTTCCCTCATGATGATGGAAACATAAGGGTTTCTATAGTTTGGATACTATCAAATATTGGAATATGATTTTAGTGTGAAGAGTCTTGATTATTTTTATTGAGTTTAATGTAAGCATTTTAACACATTGCCTCATGCAGCTCTAAGATCCTTTATAGATAGGAGCCAAGCTAGACATTTTGTGGGAAGCCTAACTCTGAATTCCAAATCTTTGCTGTAATTGACATTGTCACTTTTTGTTGTGTTGCCTTGGATCTGTGTTCTTGCTCTACTTGGGGAAAGACAGAGGCAGTTGAACTAGGTGACCAAGAACATGTCATTGCTAGTCTGTGCATGGTTGATAATTTACAGATACAGTATCATTGCATTCCTTCAACATGTATGCATTTTCCTGTGGATGATTGTCTTGTGCTTATAAAATATCATGCAAAGATGAGATTTCTCGTGTCCTCTGCTTTTTCTGCATATATGTTTCTGCATATGTTTCTGCATATAAAACTCTGAACTAGATCCCCTCATTGGATCTCATCTCTGCTTTATTTTAACAAAGATACTGGTTTTATTTTTCTTCAGACAATTCAACAAGCAGTCACTAAGTTCCTACAGCATACCTAGCTGTGGGCAAATACATCATCTATAGTATACAGTACTTTCTCTCAAATACCAATGATGAAATAATAGTATCTTTCAATTTACAAAGCATTTTTACATGCATAATTTTATGTTATTCTCTCTCTCAACTTTTGAAATAGAAAGGACAGATAGTTCCATTTTACAGATGAGAAAACTAAGGCTCAGTTACTTGCTCTAGGTTCCACTGATGGGTCCAGTGTATTTACTAACTCTAGTTGCTGTATAGTTCGAATGTAACTCAATTGGATTTTTCTCTCACCCATCCCCCTCCGCCCCAATCAGTAGCATCTAGATTTTATTCTCTGTTTTTTAAATCAAATAAATGAGGTTGTTTGAGGACATCGGTCCTGGCCCTAGGACTAGGGTAGGTATTATTCCTGTGACCTAAAGGGGCTTCACTTAACCCCTTTTCCAATTGTAAAAAGATGAAGGCATTATGTCTGTGTCTTCCCCAATAAACATTTCCCTTAGAGTGGATGTGATGACACATCTGTGAGCTATGGGAAAACAAAAGGTATTTGAAGGTTGAAATAATTGAGAGTAGAAATGCTTTTGTGACTTTAAGTCATGTGAGCCTGTTCAAGGAAGAGCTGCTCTCTCCCTGCTGTCCTCAGGGCCCAGCTTGGCTCTATTTTAACAAAATAGGCAGCCACTCGTGCTGTCCTGGGTCCTGCTCCGCCTGACTCACCACAGACCTATGCTGAGGATGCTTCCTGCTCCTACTGACCCATCCCATTCTGAAACAAAAGGCCGCAGCCCAGATGGTACTGCCCAGCTGGAAATGACCTTCCAGGGGGCATTCCAGCAGCTAAACCTCAGGGCGCCGGGAGAAGGTCTGTTGGCCAGGAAGTCAAAGATTGGGTGGCATTGCCCTGAGCACACAGAGCACCTGGCAGCTACTCCAGCTTAGGCCTAGAATCCTGGGAGGCTACAGTCAAGATCAGAATGACCTAAATAATACAAAATAAAAAGATCAGAATGACCTTCCCATTTTCTAGAACAGATATCCATGTGCTAACATTTTTTGACTTTCAGTTATAAATCAAGACTTTAAACTAGCCAGAGAAGCGGCATGCCTAAAGCTGTCATACATTTTTTAAAACTCAAAACGCCCTTATTAATTTTTTTGCTTCTTAAAATGATACTTAACTCATTAGCAAATAAAATTTAAAGCTAGAGAAATTTTTAATAGTACAGAAAACTCATGTGACATCTGTAAATGAGACAAAAACAATGTCAATGTTTGAGTGAACATCCTAATATTTCTAACATGTTCCTCATATTGAAGAAATATGCCTATTTCTTCATAACTATTATTCATATTTCTTTCTCTTAATAGCCCTGAAATTAGGGTTACAGTCCAAGAATACATTGAATATGGGACTCCTTCCCCATATTCCAAGAGAAACTTTTATTAGCATTTTAATGTTTTAAAATAATTTCTGTCAAAATAAACTATTTAATGTTTTTTATAAATTAGATTATATATATCTCTATATATAAAAGCCTAAGGAGCCGTTATGACCCAATAACCAGTCAACCAATTGCTATGATGACCACCAGGGGGCAGATGCTCAATGCAGGAGCTGCCACCTGGTGGTCAGTGCGCTCCTACAGCCAACCTCCCATGGCCCTTCCCCCCGGCAGGCCAACCTTCCCCAGTCCCTCCCCCTGGCCAGCCAGTCCCCCTGATGGCCCTGATTGGGGGGCTGGCCGGCCAACCTCCCATGGTCCCTCCCCCTGGCCAGCCAGACCCCCGATAGGCCTTGATCGCCTGCCAGGCCTAGGGACCCCACCCATGCATGAATTCGTGCACTAGGCCTCTAGTAAGATTATATATACAATTTCTGTTTTACAATGAAGCATGAATATCTTTCAACAGCAATGAGCAATCTTCATTGTAACTTCTCATATGCTATGCCATTGTAATTTATTTAGTCAATTCCATATTTATAAACATTTAGTTTATTTCCAACTTTCAGTAGTGTAAACAATATCTATAGTATTTGTTCTGTTTTCCTCCTGAGGATAAATTACTGGAAGGAAATGCTAAGTCAAAGACTCCACTGTATACATTTTAAAATTTGGTACATATTTCCAAGCTTGCTCTTTATAAACTTGATACAGATTTGCAGTCTCACTAACAGTAAACACATGAGGATATCAGTGTTTTTAATACTATTTGTCATTTTAGTAGTTGAGGAAATTTTTTAAATTTGCTTCTTTTATTTTCTTGTAACTAGTGAGTTTAGTGTGCTGACATATGTTTATTGGCCATTTTTATATCTTTCATGAATGACATATTTTTTCTTGGCCACTTTTTCTCTTGTGGTCTTGGTCTTTTCCTCATTCATTTGTATGAGCTCTTTATATATTAAGACACTAACCCCATCATTTATAACATTGCTATAGAGTATTAGTTTTTAGTTGTACAAATATATCATACTTTTATTTTTTTAATATATATTTTATTGATTTTTCTACAGAGAGGAAGGGAGAGGAATAGAGAGTCAGAAACATCGATCAGCTGCCTCCTGCACACTCCCTACTGGGTATGTGCCCGAAACCAAGGTACATGCCCTTGACTGGAATTGAACCTGGGACCCTTGAGTCCGTAGGTTGATGCTCTATCCATTGAGCCAAACCAGTTAGGGCTATATCATACTTTTAAAAATGAGTTCTGATTTTCAGGTCTGCTTAAAGAAGTCTCTCCCTACCAGCTATAAATCCAAATTTTCTTCTTATCTTAAGTTTATCTATATTACACTTAATAAAATAAAATCCATTTAGAATGTATTTTAGTTGTAAGAAATATTCTTCTCAGTTTCAGATTTCCACACATTTAAACCAGCAATAAAAAAATTTTGCCTGTTTGCCCTGACCAGTTTCGCTCAGTGGATAGAGCGTTGCCCGGAGGACTGAAGAGTCCCAGGTTCGAGGTCAAGGACATGTACCTTGGTTGTGGGCACATCCCCAGTAGGGGTGTGCAGGAGGCAGCTGATCGATGTTTCTGACTCTCTATTCCTCTCCCTTCCTCTCTGTAGAAAAATCAATAAAATATATTAAAAAAATATTTTTTGCCTGTTTCTCATCCTATCTAATAAAGAGGGAATATGCTAATTGACTGCTCCACCCTCAAAGATGGCGACGCCCACAGCCACAAGATGGTGGTGCCCAGTCCCCTCAGCCCCGCCAGGGCAGCAGGCGTGCACGGCAAGGCCCTATAAAGGAAATTAGGCAAAGAGAAAACACCTATCATCCCATAGTAAACATCTCCAACTACCTCTACATTTATAAATCCAAGTGCAATGGGAATTCTTTGATTTGGTTTGTTGTTGTTGTTTTTTAGCATTGGGGATAAAATAAGCCAGACCTGTATTGTGCGTGTGACCAAGATAGAATCATTTTCTATTATGAAAGTAAAACTTTGCCCTTCTGTGATGTACTTGGCTTTTCTTGGGCTCAGGCCCACAGACTTGGGATGTTTTGTCTAGGTGAGTCAGCAAGCTAGTGGAAGAACAAATGGTGATAAAAGGCTGCACCCTAAGTGCCTCTGACCACAGACCACGTGACGCTCTCTTGTTTCAGGGTAGAAGAGCAAGGCTGATTTTCTGTGTTAGCAGTCATTGAGATTTTTTGCTCTTAACTTCCCAAGGACACCAGTTTTAGGAGAGGCTTAGATAAGACTCATTAGTACCCTTGAGGTGTAGGGTAAGTGAAATGTTGACTACATTCCACCAGGCCCATGTATCACTTTGACATTGCGGACAAGCAGTTTCCACTGGTGTAGGGTGGGAGATTATGTCTAAAGCTGGAAGGAGAATTGGAAAAGGCCATCTTTTAGTATAGCCTGATCAATCACAATGTGTTAATTCAGCGGCAATGCCCAACGCTGTTCTACTGTTTTACACTTCTCTTGCAGTGGATGATAGCACTGGAGTTATAAACTGCATCTGCTGGAAAAACTTGACTGATACCGAGTCTTCCTCAGGTAATTTCATTTGCCACACTCCTTTGCTTTTCAGCTGACCAGTGGATTTTACTCAAGGCAGCTCATCAGAACAGCTGTAGGGCCTAAATTTTCACATTTACCCACTGATGAATTACATTGACTATCTTGAAGCACTGCACTGCAGAGAGCTTTGGCTTCTCTGCAAACTGGTACTAAAGTGGAGCCACTTGGGTTTTTTTTTTCTCCCATTACTTTGGTGCTCACTTCCTCCTAACCTAAGGAATGGGACTAGGTTACTAGGAATTTCAGCATTTCACTTTTACTAAACCAGTCATTACCCAAATCAAGATGTTTTAGCCTAATTGCCAGTCAGGTCAGAATTCCCTTGCTCCGGCCATGCCACTTGGCCAAAGAAGATTTTGAAGACTTTTCCTCTTATGTGGTTGCCACTAACTTCTATGCTGCCGTTCAGATCCTAATTTTTCTGAAATCTCTACATGTTCAACAACTGTACCAGAAATTCTAACATTGATGAGAATGAGAAGATAGGATTCCTTTGAAGTTAGCCATTAAGTAATATAAACGGAAAAAGAACTTCAAAATTATATAGTAAACACATAGGCTAGAACTGAAACAGCATTTAAAATTTCTTGAGTGTAATTTAATAGGTGGTTTTTTGAGTTGCTTAAGTTCATATTAAAAAAATATGGTGCAATGTTGGGGATCATTTTGGTTCTAGAGAAGCTACAGAAAATGGGACCTTGTTTGTCCTGTTTTATGACATAGACAGTATGATACCATGCACAGTGGGGTTAGTCAGTATATATTGCCTGCTGTCATATCTAACATCCAGTATCTATCTTGTGTTATACATGGTAATGTGTAACCCTTGGAGTGGTTTCTTCTTTCCTTTCTGCCATTTCCTGTCAGAATCTCAACCCCTGCTTTGACTATACTGACTAATGGATACTACTTTGCCTAATTTTTTGTTGGCATTTACATTTAGAATTTGAACATCATTTTCACATTACTTTCGTATTCCCCTTTCCTAATTTGGAAAAATCTAAATTAATGTCACTGTAGGAAGTTAGCTTAGGAAGCTTTGTAGAGTAAAAAAAGATAAGAAAGACAACAGGTTTTTTATGCAGCTATCTCAGAGGCAGGAAATAAACCTATGAGATAATCAGATATCTGAATTTGCATATGTCTAGCGTATTAAAATCATTTGAAGATTTATGGTTGTTGTATTGTCACAGTCTTCATTTAGAAGGTATAGGGTTTTTGTGTGTGTGTGTGTGTGCTTTCTTCAGAAGGTATAGTTTGAATATGCATACTTGTTTCATGCCAAGGGTCAGCCCTTTTTCTGTATAGAGCCGGATGGTAAATGTTTCCTGCTTTGTGGGCCACATGGTCTGCCCCTCAACTATTCAGCGCTGCCATTATAACACAGAACAGCCATAGACCATACATAAACAAACAGCATGGCTCTGTTCCAATAAAACTTTATTTATAGAAACAGGTTGTGAATGGAATTGGCCCATAGGCCATGGTTTGCAGACCTGTTTTAGCTATTGTTTTAATTTTCAAAGTCAGCTCTTTTTTAAAGAAATGACATCATCAGGAATATTATATAGCTCTTATACTTAGTAATTTTTAGGTAAAATTGCTGTCAATACTGAGAGTGTGGTTTTTAAAAATATCTCTATCTATGAATATATAGATGAACAATTGGGGTGGACAGACTGAAAATTAATTGAAAATTGCTTTGAGAATAAAAATAAAGAGGGTAAGAGAACAGGGAAAAAGCCTGAAAATGAGTCTCATCATGTTATATATGGAGTGGTATCTTTAAATTGTTCCTGACTAGCCCATTTTCTCCTTTTAGTTTAATTGCCCTCAGTTTTAAATCTTTCCACTGGAAAGTGGCCAATGAAGACTGATTTTTTTTTAAACCAAATTTTAATCTGAGTCAAAATCATGTTCCAGTCAGTTGAGATATAAGAATATGATATTGACTCCTATAAATGTCACATTGAATGTAGAATTTGGACTTAGCTTATGAGGAAAGTTAAGAAAGCTGGGCCCTTAATACTAGAATTTTAAAGAGGGCTTATCTTTCAGCACGGAATAGGTTTCTTAAAATGAAATTCTGTCAGGCTCTAGCCATCTCATTATATTCATTAATTCACACAGCTTGAGCTTTTTTTTTTTTTACCCCTTTTGGTAGTTTCATGTACCCTTTAAATTAGCGGTTCTCAACCTGTGGGTCGTGATCCCTTTGGCGGTCAAACGACCCTTTCACAGGGGTCGCCTAAGACCATCCTGCATATCAGATATTTACATTACGACTCATAACAGTAGCAACATGACAGTTATGAAGTAGCAACGAAAATAATTTTCTGGTTGGGTCACAACATGAGGAACTGTATTTAAAGGGCCAGAAGGTTGAGAACCACTGCTTTAAATGAAAGCAACTCAGCACCTTTTTCTCAGACCAGCCATCAGTCAGATCATTTCAACAGTACGATATGAAGCATTTATTATCACCTATACTGTCTGAATAATGGCAGTGAGACTTATAAAGGCATTTACAATTCAGCCTAAGTAGGAGAGGACTTGGGGGTGGAAAACCTTTTAAAAAGTAATACTCGGGTATTTTCTGAAGAAACCCAGTAAGCTGAGTGACATTAATGCTGATTGTGTCTAGATTCCTAGCTGTTGGTTACTGGATACATGAAGTCCTCTGTGCTCCTGAGGTTGCAGTTTCCTTTGGTATAATAGATGTGTTCATCTAAGTTGTGTTAGGTTAAAGAGCAGAGTATTTGATTAATAGACCCAAAGAGAGATTCAGTTCTTTTAGGAACCCTAGTGTATGACAAACCAAAAATAATACGATAAAAAAGAAATAATAATACGATAGTAGGAAGTAAATCAGCACTTAAAAATGTTGTTGGTTTAGGTAGATAATGATATTGAAGAAGAGGTAACCTCCCTCCCTTGCAGCTTCCATAAAGTAACCCAAAGAAGGTGCACTTGTATATTTATTCCAATAAAGATCATAAAGATCAGGGTATATATGTTAAGCTCTCCTGAGTCCCTTTTAAAGCACTGAAAGCTATCATCAGTGACAAGAGAGATAGCCTAAAAGATTTCCCCCCAAACTTTTATGTAATAAAATGAAGTGAAAGAGAAAGGATACAATGGAATGGGGAAAGTGGAAGTAGTACGTATAACTTGACAAAGCTTCCCTAAAAATCTTTCAGACATTAACAAAGTATTCAAAAGAGATGAAGGGCTTATACGAAAAGAATACAGAGAGTAGATCATCCTATATAATAAAAGCCTAATATGCTAAGTGTCTGGTCGTCTGGTTGTCCGTTCAACCAATCAAAGGATAATATGCTAATGATATGCTAAGGCCGCTCAACCACTTGCTATGTTGGGCACTGACCACCAGCGGGCAGACACTCCAACTGGTAGGTTAGCTTGCTGCTGAGGTCCAGCCAATTGGGACTAAGCGAGATGGGCCGGGCACGCCCTGGAGCCCTCCCACAATCCCTCCCTGGCTGGCCAACCTCCCATGTCCCTCCCCATCTTGATTGTGCACCGATGGGGTCCCTTGGCCTGGCTTGCGCTCTCTTGCAATCCGAGATCCCCTCGGGGGATATTGGAGAGCTGGTTTTGGCTCGATCCCGCAGACCAGGCGAAGGGACCCTACTGGTGTACGAATTCGTGCACTGGGCCTCTAGTCTTATATAAAAACATACAGCCTCTCTGGCAACTTAAAAGCAAAATAAAAGGTTATGGAATTACTAGAGGCCCGGTGCACGAAATTCATGCACAGATAGGGTTCCTAAGCTTGGCTGGTGATCAAGGCTGATCAGGGCCTTCTAGCTGCTGGCCGGGGCCTTCCTTTGTTCTGCACTGCCCCCTGGTGGTCAGCACATGTCATAGCAAGCAATCGTCCTGGTCTCCAGGTCGAACTCCCGAGGGGACACATTGGCCATCTTGGTCTCCGCCTATTTTCTACAGTATTAAAAATCTAAATGACTGAAGCCAGTGTGGGAGCCACAAGCATGCATGCATGGCTGGTGACACCTTGTAGAAAGAAAATACTTTGATTTATTATTATTATTATTTTTTTTTTGGCAAACATTCTGACAATATGTAATGAACTAGAAACTGATTTGTACTTTTCTACCCAGTAATCCCTAATGAAAAGCCCCAAAAAAAAGAAAATGATTTTGTCCAGAGGGCTTAATTTTTTTTTCACAAATAGTTGACATTTACTGAATTCTTCCTATGAATCTGGCATTGTACTAAGCTCATAATGTAAGGGTTAACTTATGCACAACAACTCTATGTATAAGGTAGACTCTGTTGTTTAAGTTTATAGTTTTAAGTGGTATGAGAATGAGTGTGTGTGTGTGTGTGTGTGTGAGAGAGAGAGAGAGAGAGAGAGAGGTATTAGCCTAGTTACCCAACAAAGATGAGAGGTGAGCAATTAGACTGTTGAGCACCTAGGAAATCTGCCTATGGTGAATTTGCTTCCCCCATACACAGAACCACAAACCCAGACTCTTGGGCCCCCTTTCCTCTTCCTCCAGACCTCGGTCTCACTGCAAGGACACTTTATAGGGTTGTTGAGAGCTGTTGCCACAAAACCCATTGAACCCATACAGGATTCAGCTCAGGACCACATAGAGCCATTTGCACTGATGATGTAGGGCTTCTAGACTCTGTTCCCTTCACCCTACTTTTGAATAATGGCAGCTTAATGCCTTTTATTCAGTAGAGGATTTTTTAAAGTTATGCAGATTTCCTATGTAGAGCAACTAATCCAAAGTAGAATAAATAAATGTCTTGTGTTGGTGTTACCCCCAGTGTAGCTCACAAATGTGGTGGAGTGGTTATGTTATACATTTCTGTCTTTCCTTCTGGCCCTAACAACTACAGCTGCTCCAAGTGCAAGAGAACTGAGCTTAACCTCCCAGCTTAAGAAGCTGCAAGAGACCATTGAGCAGAGAACAAAGATAGAAATTGGGGACATTATCCGGGTCAGAGGTTATATCCGCACGTACAGAGAAGAGCGAGAAATTCATGCCACTGTTCATTGTAAGCAAAAGATATTTTTCCCAAAATGGTTGTTATTTTGGGGGTGTGTCCAATAGTAAACTTGTTTAGCTAAAAGTCAAACTTCTAAATAGTTCCTGCAGACCAATAAAGAAGATTAACTATTTAATGGAGGAAATTACATTTTATAATATGCTTTCTTTGGAAAAGCAGCATTTCTTAAATTTATTTTATTTTTTTTAATGTATATATTAATTTTTACAGAGAGGAAGAGAGAGGGATAGAGAGTTAGAAACATCGATCAGCTGCCTCCTGTACACTCCCTACTGGGGATGTGCCCGCAACCAAGGTACATGCCCTTGACCGGAATTGAACCTGGGGCCCTTCAGTCCGCAGGCCTACGCTCTATCCACTGAGCCAAACCAGTTAGGGCTTAAATTTATTTTAAAGAGAGGTAACGATGAACAAATTGGGAAAGAAAACAAATGATTTATTATGTATAGCTGGAAAATTTATTTGGATAGCACAGTAGTTTCTAACGTGCTTTGAAGTTCCAAGTGTGAATCTATTTAGGGCAGAGTGTTCATATTCTTCAAAATGATGGAAATTTCTTGAGTACCATTAAGCATATTAACTTTGAAAGAAAACAGCTAATCAGATGTATGACAGTCCAGTATCATCTGCGTGATGCCCTCTGCACTGCTCTGGCTGGTGTTTGCTTGGGAATCTCTAGGAGGGCCCCTGTTGTCCACCATTGTAACAGATGAACGAATAACCTAATGTGCTTGCCCTAGTCCCAGTCTACTCCTGGCCGAGCATGTGACATTTAGGGCATTGCCCTCCCTTTTGTATGATAACTGGGAACTATTTAGTGCATCTAGACTGTTACTCCTGGGCACTGACAAGGAAGGAGACCCTCTGTGTGCCTCATTTACTGTCATCTTAGCAGCAATTTGGACAAGGGAAAGAACTGACCTTGATGTAATTTCTGTGATATATTTTCCCCCGCGCTTCTTAGATAAAGTAGACGATCCAGTATGCAACATTCAAATTGCAAGGATGCTTGAGCTGCCCAGTATCTACAGGAAAGTTTATGACCAGCCTTTCCATAGCCCAGTCCTAGAAAAAGAAGCACTAAGGTAAGTGATGGCCAATCACCGCAGAAGATGTGAATTCAGTGGGAAGGCCATGCCAGGGGAGCCCTGGTGCTGGAGTGGCCCTGTGTTCAAATCCTGAAACCATCATCTTACTCATGTGAGGCTCTGGGCACGTCTGCTCAGCCTCCATGTGCCTCAGGGAAGGTGAAAGCAGTGCAGATGTTCCAAGGTTGTTGTGAGGAAAATATACATGTAACTAGGGTCCCTGAAGGAGTTGAGTCGTTCTCAACCAGGGCTGGTTTTACTCGTGTGTGTGTATGTGTGTGTGTGTGGGAGGGGGGAGGGCAGAAAAACAGGAGGAGTAAGAATATTTTTTAGTATATGTATGCATCAAAGAACTCTGGGAAAAGACAGAGTCGGTAATAGTGGTTGCCAAGGAGGTGGAAATTGGGAGGAGGATAGAAAGGAGACTTTTCACTGTGTACACTTCTATTTTTTAAAAAAATACATGATTTTATTGTTTTGAGAGTGAGAGGAAGGGAGAGAGAAAAACATTGATGAGAGAGAGAAACAGTAATCGGCTGCCTCCTGCATGCCCCCTAAACCCGGGCATGTGACCTGACTGGAAATCAAACTGGCGATCTCTTGGTGCACATGACAACACTCAACCAACTGAGGCACACCTGCCTGGGTACACTTGTTTTTAATGTGTACATATTACATATTTTTAAATTATATTCAAAAACAACCCAAACTATAGACCTGTATAAAGTAAAAAGTGAAATTCCTCCGTTGTCCTGTCTCCTGCCTCAGAGCCATGCCCTAGAGGTTACTACTGTCCCTAGGTTGGTATGTACCCTTTTAGACATTTTTCTCTGTGCAAACACAAGCAAGAATACCTACCCATATATTTTGTGGGTTGTCATTTGCTTTTTTACAAAAATGGGATTATATCTTACATACTATTCTGCAACCTGACTTTTTTTCTGAAGCGATCATGATATCTTAGTTCTTGTAGTCCTTCCTCATCCTTTTAAACAACCACACATTGTCCATAGTATGAGTTGTCCTTTATGTCAACAAAAGCATCAATATAGTGTTGCTTTTCCTAGACAAGTTTCTGTTTTAAACACACCAGAAAGGAACAGAGTTGATAATTTTCTACATAGCTGTTTACAACTTTCCCCAGCAAAAATCCAGGTGTCCTGGACCTTACCAATCTCACATGTTTGCTGAGTGAAAAAGCCAAAGAATTCCTCATGAAGAACAGAGTGCAGACCTTTTACCAGCAGGAGTTGGAAATGGTGGAGTCTCTGCTGTCCCTTGCCAATCAGCCTGTGATTCATAGTGCCTGCTCCAAACAAGTAAGTGCAGGTTGCCCACGGGAGAATTCGAGTCCACTGCCCCAAATCGGCAGCTGTAGGGTGTGAGTGAACGTGACTATGGTATTAAGATTCACAGGGTGGACCAGGGAATAGAGGCTATGGTTCAATCACATGTCCTTTCTATTCTGGGAAGGTTACTGACCTCTTAAGAATTTCGAATGAGAATGGACCTGCCCTTTTCCTCTCACTTAATCTCATTAAGCTTAATCATTGGGTAGAAAAAAAAATAGTCTAAACATCATAATACTTAGTTCTTAGTACTCACTGAGATGGGTATTTAATTTCAGCAGGAGTCAAATGTTGGGGAAATAAATGAGAAGAGGTAATTATCCTTCCAAGATTTATTGAACTTGAACCAAGGCTTTTACTGACTTGCTGTTTCTTCTGCAGAATAAGGTTAACCTGTTGCATTTTAGAAGTTTGAATAAGGCCAAGTTGTATTCATCCTGGTTTTTATGTAGAAATTTCAGCAAATGCTTTAAGTCATTTTTATTTCTCCTGGTAAGAGCTGTCCCCATTTTTTCATCCCTAGTGTTATAGGTGAACTTTAGTTGTTTGGTGCTTCCATATTTGCTTGGAATTAAGAATTATTTGAGACTTTGGTGTTAGGCTTTTCCTTTTATTTCAACTCTTGGATTTGTTGTTGTTGTAACATGACTCGTATTTATTATTTCATTGATTCCACCAGTGGGTGATCTCTGCTTAAATGTCACCTTCTTGCCCTCCTTGGCCGTCTGCTCTGATGACCACCTACTTCCTCACTAGGTTATCACCTGTGTTCATATCTCTCCTTATTTGTTCACCTGCCTGTTCCTCCACCAGAATTTAAGTTCTCTATGAGCAGATGTCTCATCTGACTTATTCTCTGTCCTCTAGAACCAGGGCCTAGGACAGGTCTGTCAGAAAGTAGGTTTTCAATAATATCAGTTAATTGAAGAATAAATGGTTTTTAAAAATTCAAATAGTCCCTGAAAGTGTCTACTTAAAAGTAAGTTTCTTTCCCATCCTTCCTCCTTTCTACAGAGACAAGCACTAGTGTTACTAGTGTCACGAATATCCATCTGGAGATAGTTTGCATATGTAAACTAGAAGTAGTTGTATCCCCCTTTTTTTACACAAATGGTATCATGTTAAACACTAGTATATCCTTAGCTTTTCATTGAACAGTATGTCTTATAGATCCTTTCCTAGCTGTACATAGATTTGCCACTATAGAATAATCTTTTGTTACATGTCCCATAATTTAGATCAGGGGTCCTCAAACTTTTTAAACAGGGGGCCAGTTCACTGTCCCTCAGACCATTGGAGGGCCGGACTATAGTTTTAAAAAAAACTATGAACAAATTCCTATGCACACTGCACATATCTTATTTTGAAGTAAAAAACAAAACTTCAAAAAAAAGGGCTCTCCTAACTTCAAAAAAAAGGCCCTACTAACTGCAAAATAAAAAAAATAGACCTCCTAATGTTAAACACTAGTATATCCTTAGCTTTTCATTGAACAGTATGTCTTATAGATCCTTTCCTAGCCGTACATAGATTTGCCACTATAGAATAATCTTTTGTCACATGTCCCATAATTTAGATAATCACCCTCTCCATTCCTGGACTGTTTAGATGTTTTCTGATCTTTTGCCATTACCAACAGGGCTGCTCTGAATTCCCTTGTTAGGTAACATAAGTTATTCTTCCGGTCTCTGGCAGAACAGATACCAGGTCCCCATCCAACTTCCTAGGCACGACCACTGCTTCTCAGTTTCATTCATGAACCTAATTATCTCTTCCTGACACCAGGCTGTGTGTCCAATGACCCATGATTTTGTACACAGAGATGAGGGATATTGTTTCAGGAAACACCAAGGCGGAGAGGGTCATGACTGGCCGCTTTGTCCTGTGCCATCATCACTTCTAAACAGTTGCAGCTCTCCAGCTGTGCCCTGACAGCAAGATTGACCTTCCATTTAATCATTTAGAGGGGGCTCAATGCCAAGTTGGCCTCCAAGGACTTCTGACCATTCTGCTGGCTTGTTTGGAAGGAAACTTTGAAGCTTAGTGAAGACCACATTCTTCCTGTGAACCAGCTCTTCTGCAAAGGCTCTCATTAGGTAGAGAGACTTGAGGTCCCTGAGGACTAAAAGGCTCCTCCATTCAAAGCAGAAGTATTGCCCTGATGTCTTTTTGAAATGCTTAGAGAAGAAACTGTGTCTGCCCAGTGCTGTATGTTTAAAAAGAAATGTATATGGCATTTTGTTTGTTTTGTCTTTGGAAACTATTTTTCCATCAATTATGAATTGTTCCCTCACATGGCTCTGCTTGGGGAGGTCAGTGTCATTCAATCGAATCTAGTTTAATTGAGCCTGAGAAACTAGGGATGCTTTATAGCGATGGTGAAACCCTAGATCTTTTGGTACTTTGTGTTGTCATACAGATGAAAGCTACACAAAAAAATCATTGTGATAGTGTTATAGTTGATAGGGATAGGGAGAGTGGGTTTGAATGCTTTCCCCTTTCTTTGTTTTTCATGGTGGCTCTTCTTAGCAAGTCCAGAAACCTGATAAGCAGGCCTTGCAAATCCATTGTTTCTTTGACAGCTGGATAAATGTTGAGTTTGTTTGGAAATGAAGACTATATATATATTTCAGAGATCCACCCAGTTCCTGACCTGCAATGAGGAGAGGCCTGCTAAGGATCAGCATGTTCAGCCAGTCAGTTTTTTCCTCTGAGCAGCTTCGGTTTCCTGAATCGGATGAGTCTGCTCTTGCTCTTTAGAAAAAGACAAGAAAGACACAAATCTCAGGCCAGGAAGAGCTGCTGGCTAGAAGAGATGATTGGAGGTTCTACTCTGGAGACTGTGTCTTTACAAGCAGCAGGGAGATATGTCCCGAGGTCAGCTGAGGCAAATGTTTTTGGAAAGGAAGCTTCACATGTTGTTTATATTTACAGAGAGCCTTTTCTGTTGGGTCCGCCTTGTTCACAGCTGAAACTGTGCTTTTGAGCTCGCAGGCCTGGCACCCTGTCTTCCTGCTGCTTGGTCTTACTGAAGTCGGGGAGGAGGAAGCAGGCTTGATGTAAGATCTGGGGATAACCAAGAGTCTTTTTTAATGACAGGAATAATTACATAACAACATTTCTAGTTAGTTTCCAATTTAGTTCTGTCTTGATAAAGATGTAATATTAACTCTACCCTTAAGAATCCTTATGTTAAATTGACTCAATAAAACGAATCTCCTTAGAAGTATGAAGATTAAGTAGTTATAAAGTTTTGTGGGGGAGCCTATATTAGGTTGTGTTTTCCCTAAGTAAGAGGACTCATGTATGTAATTAAAAATGGCTTTGTCTGGAGCCCTCCTGAGTAAAAAGATGTGTGGCTGAGGATTGGTAAGGTGTTTATTCTAAGCACATCCAGATAGCTTTTCTGCCCGTGGGAGTCGTCAAATATTTCTGGACCTTATTCTCCCTTCAGAGAGTGGGTGCTGTCATAACGTGGAATGTTTGTCAGCTTTAGGCCCTAATGTTCTAATGACCAGGTTCTGCAGCTTGTTCTGTTAAGGAAAAGCTTAGAGTACAATTTAAGAGTCTTAACTCAGTCGGTGTGGCTCAGTGGTTGAGTGTTGACTTATAAATCAGGAGGTCACAGTTTAGTTCCTGGTCAGGACACATGCCCAGGTTGTGGGCTTGATTCCCAGTAGTGAGCGTGCAGGAGACAGCCAATCCATGATTCTCTCTCATCATTGATGTTTCTATTCCCTCTCCCTTCCTCTTTGAAATTAGTAAAAATATATTTTAAAAAGAGCCTTAGACTCCCCTCTTCAGCCCAGGAAAGCACAAACATTTGGCAAGATCTACTAGATTAAAACAATGCCTGTTAGGGAAGCCTCTTCTAGAAAGAGATGGTTTCTCAGAGATGGATTGTCAACACTCAAGGCCATTTGGGACTTCCTTTTCTCTCCCTGTCACTTAGAGGAAGTGTTGTGGGCAAATCTCAAGCACATTCTCTTTTTCAGCATCTCTGAGGTGCTGCCCCAGACAGCCTTTACCAATACCTTTCACTGGAGGTAGGATTTGGCCTTCAAACACTTTTTTGGACACTTTGCCATGTTTCTTTCATGCTCTAATCTTTTTAATATCTTGAAAAATTTGTCACATTAAAAATGGATCTGTAGCTGTAGCTGGTTTGGCTCAGTGGATAGAGAGTTGGCCTGTGGATTGAAGGGTCCTGGGTTCGATTCTGGTAAAGGGCACATGCCTGGGTTGCAGGCTCGATCCCCAGTAGGGGGCATGCAGGAGGCAGCCAATCAATGATTCTCTCTCATCATTGATGTTTCTCTCTCTCTCTCCCTCTCCCTTCTTCTCTTTGAAATAATATATATATATATTATAAAAGGCCAGTGGCCATAACGCCGGAATGACCAAACGACCGGTCACCAGGTGGTGCATTGATGGGTCTCTCGGCAGCATGGCGGGTCTGGGTCTCACGCGATTTCGCGTGCTGGGCCTCTAATACACACACACACACACACACATTTTTATTTTTTTTTTTAATATATTTTATTGATTTTCCACAGAGAGGAAGGGAGAGAGATAGAGAGTTAGAAACATCGATGAGAGAGAAACATCGATCAGCTGCCTCCTGCACATCCCCCACTGGGGACGTGCCTGCAACCCAGGTACATGCCCTTGACTGGAATCGAACCTGGGACCCTTCAGTCCGCAGGCCGACGCTCTATCCACCGAGCCAAACCGGTTTCGGCCACACACACATTTTTTAAAAAATCTGTATCTTGAAGGAGAATTGTTGTTGTTCACTGCTTTGTTGTAGGAATGAACTGAAAATCCCTAATGGAATAATCAGAAGGATACAGCCTCTCTAATATTTTCATTGATTCCACAAATGTTTTATTGATCAAGTTCTGTGTGCCAGGGGGTAGGTGGTCAAGATGAAATGCAGCCCTAGCCGGTTTGGCTCAGTGGATAGTGTCGGCCTGCGGATTGAAGTGTCCTAGGTTCTATTCCAGTCAAGGGCACATGGCCAGGTTGTGGGCTCAATCCTCAGTAGGGAGCGTGCAGGAGGCAGCCAATCAATGATTCTCATCTCTCTCTCTTTCTCCCTTTCTCTCTGAAATCAATACAAAAATATTTAAAAAAAAAAGATTAAATACAAAGTCCCCAATTCAAGAACCACACAGTCTAGTTAACTCTGGGACATAGCTGAAAACCTAGTTTCCTTGAGAATAAGAAATAGGATGACCTGATTACCTCTCTAGGCAAATCTGTCTCCTAGAGAAAGGAAGAAACATTGAAATTGAGGAGATAGCAAACGGACAGCAGCTGAGTTCCTTCCATATGGTGGGTGGTCTTGCTTCACTCTAGGGCCCCTGTCTACCTTTAGCCACCGGAGAGGTCTCTGCAAAGCTATTTGCTGCCATTGTTCTTCATTTAAAATAAAGAGACTATTTAATACTTTCTACATGCTGGAATCCCCAGCTTATTTCAGTGTGTATAAAATTCTCTGAAGTCCTTAGGAAGAGATTGTATATAGCCAAGATTTTTAAAAATATATTTCAATTAATTTCAGAGAGGAAGGGAGAGGGAGAGAGAAATAGAAACATCAATGATGAGAATCATCGATTGGCTGCCTCGTGTACATGCCCTACTGGGGACTGAGCCCACAACCTCGGGCATGTGCCCTTACCTGGAATTTAACTGTGACCTCCTGGTTCTTAGATTGATGCTCAATCACTGAGCCACACCGGCCAGGTTATAACCAGGATTTTAATGAAAAAGAAAGAACTAATATGTATACAGTGTTTTAGTTATGAATTAAAAAAATAAAGATTGTCCTTTTGACTTTTCCATTTTATATTATTGAATTAACCAAAAAATCATAACTAAGGTGTGAAACAGTTATCAGATATGATCCTTTCGGAACAAACTTCCTTAAATCCCATCCTGCTAGGCAGGTGCATACCTGGATCTTTTTGACTCAGCAGATAAAAAGCCTGTTGGGTGAATTCATAAACCAGTTGGTCTAGGGAGTTGCTCTCAGGTGCTATAATATAGGACTTACTTTTTTCTTTCTTTTTTCTTCTTTCCACAGGCAGATTTTAAGAATGACACCACATCCAAGGCAATTCATAGTATATTTAAGAACGCTATAAAGCTCCTGCAGGAAAAAGGATTCATTTACCAGAAAGATTGTGGTTTTGATAACCTCTTCTATGTAAGAGACTTGCATCTTAATATTTTTCCTTCTTAGCTTCAATTGCAAATATGTTTATTACTTAAGAATACCTATTTACTGTTTTTAAAAATCAGTCATTAAAGATGCACATAAAGTAAGGAACCCCAAGATGCCACGTTTAACAGTATATCCTTCTAGACATTTATGCATTTACACATACACACATATAAATAGATGTTCCTGTGGCTTTCTTTGTTTTACAAAAAGATGTGATCATTCTCTAAGCCAGGATTTCTCATCCTCAACACTATTTGGGCCAAATGATTCTTTGTCATGGGGGGCTGTCCTTTGCATTGTGGGATATTTAGCAGCATCCCTGGCCTTCACCCACTAGATGCCAGTAGAAACCCCCGCCCCCCAAGTTGTGGCAGCCAATGTCACCAGACATTGCTAAGTGTCCCCTGGGATAGTTAAGAACCACTGCTCTAAATAATGCTCAGCAAGTTTTTGACACCAAAATAGCACACAGCATCCTTCCATGTTACTACTTAAAAATCTACCTCATTCTTTTTGACATCTGCATGGTATTCCATGTTATGAGAACTTGCCATAAATGTTTTTACCTCTTCTCTCTGATGGACATTTATGGTATCTCCAATTTTTGCTCTCACAAATAGTGTTGCTATTGCTATTTTTGCATAACTGCTTTTGTGAACTTGTGTAAATATTTCTGTAAGGTTGACTCTTAAAAGAGGAATTGCTGGAGCAAAAGCATATACCTCTAAGCTTTTTTTGTCAACATAGTCTGATTGGTCACCCAAAACTTGCACCAGTTGACGTTCTCACCAGGGGTATAAGTGCTTGCTTGTCTCATACAAGTTCACCTCTCACTGCCTATCTTTAATATTGGAGGAGCCAGGCTGAAATCGGGCCTCCTCATGACCATTGATATCGGGAGCATAGATGTGGCTTCAGCTACAAGTGATTGTCCTGGAGACAGATCCAAATTCTGAGGCATCCCAAAGGGAATGGTTTACAGGCATGATTCCCAAGGGGAAGCTTCCTTAATAGGACATTTTCTTGATATTGATTTACTCTAGTGATTTCTGATTTTTGAGCAATTTTAAAAATTAAAAGATGTTTTAAATACTATTTGAGTAGCTTTTGAAAAGGATATTGCAATCTTTATAAGGGTGACTGCAGTCCACTCCCTCTCAGGATGGGAAGGCCTTTCAGGAGTTGGTTGGTTGCAGAAGCTCATGATGGGCAGCTCACCTTAATAACGCCCCCAACTGCACCTACCCACACCCAGTCAGTCACATTGCCACTGGGAGACTCCAGGGTTGGCCAACTGAGTCTATAGAAAGTAGCTCTTCTCAGGAGCAGCAGAACCATTGGGCAGCGGTCCATAGCTGAGGTGTGGCAGCGCTAGGGCATTTCCTCCTATGAATCAGTATGAGCTGGATGATGAAGCAATAATTGCTCTCTCTTCCTCAATAGAACCATTCTTCTTTCCTGACTTCACCCCTCCCCTTTCCACTTAACAGCCTGGCCTTGTTGGTTTGTGTTTTCCTGAGGGCCTGGCCTCAGTGAAATAATTATTACAGTAATGTAGACACTTCTATTTGTATAGTGCTTTCCAGCTTTCAGCAGCTCTCATCCAATTTAATCTTTACAATAACCTTGTGAAAAGGCAGGTAATACCAATGTCCCCATTCTTAAATCAGGTCACTCTGTAAGTTCCATCAAACAAGCACTCCTGATATACAGGGTGGCACAAAAGTAGGATTACAGTTGTGAGTACGCAAAACAGAGTTTATTCTTGTACATATAAAAAAATACGAACAACTGTAGACCTACTTTTGCCCCACCCTGTATGTATTTGTTTGCATGCTTTTGTTTTGTTCTTCCTCTTTTCCTTCCTTCCTCTTTTTCCCCTTCTATTTTTTTTTGTTTTGTTGTGTTGTTAGATTTACTACTGAACATGAAGGGAGACGCATTTGTCTGGTTTCCTCTTATCTGAGCTGGTTGAGAAAGAAACTAGGTTAGATTTAAAATATAAGGTGTGGAACACTGTGTATTGTATGCTAACCTTTACTCATGCTTTTGTAAAAGAATAAACTATATAAATATGCTCATAAGTGCATATAACATCTCTCGAAGGATATGCAGGAATCTAGTAACAACTACTGGCTTTGGAAGGGGGAACACAGAGCTTAGGTCTCAGTGCTGGGAGGAAGTCTGACCTTTGAAGACAAAAAGGGTCTCAAGGGATAGGCTAGATTTGTTCTCCTGCTATCTTCTCCTTACAGTTTTATTCCTTTTGTTTTTCCTTGGGTTGGGAGGAGGAATGAAACGAATGAAACCCAAGGCAGGTGTCAGAGCCCAGAGGAAAGAGTCCTGGGGCTGAGATCAAAGACTTTGGTCCCTTGTGCCCCCTCAGAAATATAATAAATGAGATAAATTCTATGAATGCGTTATGAATATTTAAGAGGAAAGTTGCTCGTTAAGAGAATTCCAGTTTCTCTTTACATCATGGCCTCAGTGAGCCATCCCCCGAGGACTGTACCTCTGGGTCAGCTACAGAGCAGCAAGCTGCTGAGTGACTGAACTGGTTTGACAATAGGCCAAGTATTGAAAACCATGTTGTTGGTGTAGGGATGATGATTGTTATGAAATCTTTAGAAACTATCTTAAATACTAATTTGGGAGTCTGGATGACACAACCTCTGTGTTACTTAACAACACTTTTTCTCCGAACTTTTTTTCCTATTTAGGTAACCAAAGAAGACAAAGAACTGCACAGAAAGATCCACCGTATCATTCAAGAAGACTGCCAGAAACCAAACCGTAAGTGGTGTAACGCACAGGTGTCCTGATGCGTTGGAAGGGAATGTTTCCTCCCAGAGAGCAGGGGCTGGAGAGTCAGGAGACTGGAAGTATGACTGGTCAAGATACCTGCCCTCCCAGAGCCTCAGGTCCCTCCTCTCTAAAGTGAGTGTTAGGCTCGCACAGTCGTCCTGACCTTGGCTACCCATAAAATTTAATCTTGGAACTTTTTTGAGCATATGAGTACTCAGATCCCACTCTTGGGGATTCTGATCCACAAGGGGATGGAGTGGACGTGACAGGTGAGCTCCTCAGGGGGTCCTGCTACAGTGAGGCAAGCCACTGGGCTAGGACTTTTGTTGCTGTTGTTGTTCAATTTATTTTAGAGCAAGAGAGTAAGGAGGGAGGGAGAAAGAAAGAGATAAACATCAGTTTGTTGTTCCACTTTTTTATGCATTCACTGATTGATTGTTGTATGTGCCCTGACTGGGGATCAAACCTGAAACCTTGGTGTATTGGGACAGTGCTCTAACCAACTGAGCTACCCGGCCAGGGCCTGGGCTAGGATGTTTTGATGTCCTGGCTCTCATGTTCTCTATGGTTTATGTTTTTCTTGTTTACTTTTGCCCCTTGTCTTTGAACCCAAACCTCAAATTTTCTTCTCTTCTGACATCAAGCCCTTCAGTGTTGGGAGGAATGGTTCTAGACATTACAGTTTATGAACAGTGTAATTCAGTCATCCTGAAACCTAATAATTTGCAAAAGAAATGGTTTAGAAAATAGTTGGTTTTAGTGGAGCTAGGTCAGCCCCTAGTGGTTAGAAACTCAAACTGTAGGTAGTCTGACAACAGACATTACCATTTTCATACTAGTTAGAAAGAGAAGAAAGCAGTATCCTATCTTTAAGTCCTGTGTAAGCTGATCCGTCTTGAAGGTGACTTTTCAAAGTCTGTCTTTTGCAGACATCTGTTGGAATATGTCGAATGACAAATGTTGGAATATGTCAACAAATGACACTGGAAAGAAAGTGAAAAGGTTTGTTAATGACCACAGGTCTCCTCATCCTGCTTTCCTTCTCTCCAGAGAAGTCCACCTCCCGTCCTTTCAGCCCACACATGCCTGGCGCCTGGACCTGTTCCAGACTGAGTCACTGGGTAGAGCTGGACCAGGTCTCTAGCCCTGGTGTTTGATATGCAGCCCTATTTAGCTTTTAAGAACCGATGAAGTCAGAGCCCAGAGTGGCATGATGACAGATCTTAAAATAAACTTAAAGCAACCAACTATTTGAATGCAGTATTTCTGGATTTCATTCAGAGCAATAAGAACATGTATCCTTTAGTTGGGTGGGGGAGACCCATCTATCCACAGTTTAAGGAGCTTTTAAGAGCAGTGAAATGTGGGATTTCTCAACCAAGAAGGCACAAGAAGCTGCTTCCCATGTAACATCCTTCACTCAACCTAGTCCCAGGCCTCCTGGCCAGATTCTCAGTTTTGATCTGCATTAGGAACAGAATGGATTGAAATAATCCTAGGGCCCGATAAAGCAAATGAAAGAAATCACACTTTATCTCTTAGGAGAACCAAATAGCATCTGTGACCTGAGGGTCTGTAAAGTGGCAGGTTTTATATCCACTTCGAATCCACAGGCTTTGGTGAGTGTGTGTGTCAGGTGGACAGTCTCTGTCACTCATTCTATAAGTAGGAGCCTCTAAAAGCCATAAGCCCATTCCCCAGAACTAGAAAATTCCCAGGAACTCAATTCTGGAGCTTGAATAACTGAGAATGCCAACAAAAATACCTTGTAGGGACTGTCTGAATGTCTACTGTGGCCACTCCTTTTCACAGGAAATATCTGTGACATTACAAACTTTATTCTGAATAATGTATGCACATGATAAAAAGTCCAACAGTGCAAAAATACACACAGAAAAGTCAGGCTTCCTCCCAGCACTGAGACCAAAGCTTTGTGTTCTTCTCTCCAAAGGCAGTAATTGTTACTAAGTTCCTGAATATCCTTCTAGAGATGTTATATGCACTTATAAACATATTTATATAGTTTATTCTTTTTTAAAAGCACAAGTAAAGGTTACCATACAATATTCAGTGTTCCACACCTTATACTAGTATTTTAAATATAACATTGGCTTCTAGAGGTCATTCAGCAATAGTACATATAGAAGTGTCTCAGTCTTCTTAATAGCTATACATCATTCCATTATATGTATAAAGAGATATTTGACCATTTATTTAACCACTAGAGGCCTGGTGCACGAATTCGTGCATGGGTAGGGTCCCTAGGCCTGGCCAGTGATTAAGGCCGATCAGGGCCTTCCTGCTGCCGGCGGGCCTTCCTTCATTCCGCGCCACCTTCTGGTGGTCAGCACATGTCATAGCGAGTGATCGAACTCCTGTCTCGCGGTCAAACTCTCGAGGGGACACTTTGCATATTAGCCTTTTTTAAAAATATATTTTATTGATTTTTTTACAGAGAGGAAGGGAGAGGAATAGAGTTAGAAACATCGATGAGAGAGAAACATCGATCAGCTGCCTCTTGCACGCCTCCTACTGGGGATGTGCCCGCAACCAAGGTACATGCCCTTGACCAGAATCGAACCTGGAACCCTTGAGTCCGCAGGCCGACGCTCTATCCGCTGAGCCAAACCAGTTAGGGCTGCATATTAGCCTTTTATATATAGAGATTCCTCTGGACCTTTTGTTTGTTTCTAACCTTTCATACAAAGTATAACATTGAGTTTTTCCTTGTTAGGATGATTGGGGGAGAACTTAAAATCTTTAGTCATTATGAGTATCTCAGCAAAGGTTAAACCTACAATAATAAAAGGACTGTAAATACAAAGCTTGTTTTAGGTCCCTAAAGCACTGATACTGGATTTATCTAAAGATGGGCAGCACAGCATGGTTGTAAAGAGCTGGGCTCTGGGACCACCTTGCCTGGGTTTGAATCCCACTTTGCCACTTTGCAGCTGTGTGACCTTGGATAAGTCTGTACCTCAGTTTCTTTATATGTAAAATGGGGATACTATTGCCTACATGATAGTTATGAAGATTAAACGCATTGGCATTTTATAAAACTATTTTGAAGATGGCAGAGTAGGAAGCACCAGTAATCTCTCTCTCTACTTAGGCAACTATTGCATCTGTCTGGTAATTAAAAATCTGCCAACAAAGGAAAGCCCTGGACCTGATGGCTTCACTGGTGGATTATATCACACATTTACAGTAGAACTAACACCAGTCCTCTCTGTGTAACTGAAAGGTCACTTTGTGAACAGCCTTACCAGAGCTCTTCAACAGCAGAATGGCCTGTCTGAAGAAATAGTTTAAGGCTTTGGGAAGAGTTGAAGCTTCTTTAGAGCAGAGACTAGGTTATGAGCATATTCTTAGGTTATGAATACAATAGAATCGTAGTTATTCCCCATGTAAGAAGCCCGTACCACGGATCTCCTTTCATCCACACAACCACCGGTGAAGTAGGTGATTTTATTGCCATTTTATGAAGAAACTGACTGAGATGTGAACTACTTTGTCCCACTTACAGATGAAGAAACTGACTGAGATGTGAACTACTTTGTCCCAATTATAGAGCCTGGACTTGAATTTGGGTCTGTTGGACTCCAGGGTCAGCTCTCCATCTGCACTCTTTTATCTGCTGCTTTTTTTCTGACACCACACACATAGTAGGTGTTCAGAAATCTTTATCAAATGAATGTTGAAGAAACAGGCTGCAAATGTGGAGATAAGTGAAGGTGGCAAGTTTTCTAACAGTAACCCCAACAGGGAGGAATAATGAGTTGATAGAGCCACTAGAGGTCAGAATTTAGCAAGTCTTTGTTAGCCTAGGCCGGTGATAGTCTCTGACCCTTTGAGCTGGAAAGGACCTCACAGGTGCCCCCACTCCTTCCCCAGCCTCCCTCTCCATAGGTGAGAAAACTGAAACTTGAAGGTACTATGACTTGCCCAAAGTCATCAGGTGCACTGACTCCCAAACCATGCTCTGCCCAACACCACAATACCTCTTCAGATGCCTTCCTGGAACCTAAAACATTTTTTTCATCTGAAGCATTCAGTGATTGTGTGGAGCATGAGAGGCCAAACCTGGCCCTGCCATGGGGCTATAAGTGAAAACTGGGGAAGGTTTGGTTAATGCAGTTTGACTTTAACTCAGGAGTTATAAATGCATTTTACATTATGACCCAATAAATTATATAATTATAGTGCAATAGATAGGTAGATATAAATTATGTTTATTTAGAAATTGTTTCACAAAATAAGATTTATCCTACCTACAATGCAGTACATTCTGTAATTTTCTACTTCAGTTTGTTGTATGAAAAAGAATGGTAATCACAACCCACTAAATGGATTTCATGATCCTCTAATGGTCAGAACTTGAGTTGAAATCACTGATTTCAACTAGGAAAGAGGTTGCTAACCCTGAACTTTTATCACTGTACACCAAATGGTCTTGGTTTTGGATAGAGGGTAAGAGGTTACTATAGCACAACTGTCTCAGACAAACCTTCTTGGAAGCCTGTGCAGAGAGGAATGAAACAGACCAAAACTAGGAGTCCCTTCTTCACCGCGGCAGTCCTTTCAATCAGGACTCATGAGAAAGCATGGAGGCTGCTGTAAACTGACTCTGCTGTTAATCTCGAGCGGGGTCCCACTGGGAAGCTGGGGGTTCAGCACAGAATACATGCACTTCTACATGTAATGACATTGGAGAAAAAATATTACCAAGCAATAAAAATCCATTAGGTTATGGATATAAAATTATTGATTGGGAATCCTTGAAAGTTGAAGGCCTGAGTCCTGAGCAGTGGGTCCATAGATGGGCTTGAGAACAGGGTTTTTTGTTTTGTTTTTGCTGATAATCTAGACCAGTGCATCTCTGACTTTAACATGCATAAGAGTCATCTGGGGATCTGATTAAGATGCAAGTTCTGATTCAGGAGGCATGGAGCAGGGCTTTGGTTTAGAGGGAGGGGAGAGGGAAGAAGGTCTGACAGGTGTGTCCAAGCTTAGCCAACTGCCTTTTTCCTACAGACATGGAGAAGGGCTGCCACTTCCGGCACATCTTGGCCTGTGCTCGCCTGAGCCTGAACCCGGGCCTGAGTGAGCCTGTGCTGCAGCAGGTACTGGAGCTCCTGGAGGACCAGAGCGACATCGTCAGCACCATGGAGCACTACTACATAGCCTTCTGAGGACAGGCCGCAGACAGCCTGCGCGGAGCCGGGCCGAGGAGAAAGACCAAGTGACGTGCACTCCCAGGCTCTGATTTTAAACATCATACAGAGGCTTATGGGTCAGGAGGCAATTATCTTAAAATCAGCTATGAAATAAGGTCATTGGAGGAATGGAATTTGGCATAAATTCTGTAGGCTGCCTTTTACCTGCTGTATTCTTGGGATAAAATGACTTTTATCTCGGCCACGACGCACAAGAAAGCCCTCTCTGTTGACCTGCTGGCTGGACTGGGCATCCTTCGTGAAGCAGAGAGGGAGGAGGCGGTGTTGGTGGCTGAGTCGGTGTGTGTGGAGGGGCTCTATCATGGTAAAGGGACGTCGCGTGGTAAAGCCCAGGGACTGCGGGAACTGAACAGCATGCAGCCAGATCACACAGATCTAAAGCTTTTTAAAAGTTCAGACTATCAGAAACATTCTTGTGGTCTGCTTTAATGGTTAAGAACCAGTGCCAGGAAGTGGCTCTCCCTGGATGTGTGTCGCTGAGCTATGATTTCCAAGGGTTAAGCACCAGCGTTGGGTCATGAGTCCCGGTTGAATGCTTTTACAGACACTCAGAGATGGCAGTTAATGGGTCCAAGGCATGGCTCGGTGTCCCTTTTCCTTCTGAGTTGAAAGGTGTTTCAGAGCATTTGCCTGCATTGAGGACATACGGGACTAAATACATTGTCCCTTAAAGCCCTGAACTTCCAGGAGGCTTTCACACAATTATCTGGCTGCGGTTGATGTTATTTTTAAGATTATCATTGAAGTGCAGAATGTTCTGACACCATCCAGACAAAGACTCAGTATGTGCCCAGACAGGTGATGGAGTTACACTTCTGCTCAGGATGACAAGGTAAAGGAGAAAAATCTGCGGCATGTAGTAGGCTTGTTCTAACAGCACGATGACAAAGCCAGCCAGCAAAAATAAAGTGTGGAGAAAGTTAGGGAGTTAATTACAGTCATTTCACAAAAGGCACATCTGCCTGGGTCTGCTGCGTTTGCTCTTGACATAATAAGCTCCTAGTGGCTCTGCCCAAGAGCCTGTCGGCCTGTAGCGTTGCTCTGCTCTGGGTGCAGATGGAGTGCTTTTCCATTGAGGAGTGGCTGCAGCTCCTTAGTTAGGCTGAGGGCTGGTACTGACAGATCGCTTTCTGTTATGGACTTTTCTGACTTGACCTAAACCTCTGCCCTAATTCTAACAGTGATTACCCGGATGGCTGCCCTGTGTCCTCGCGACCTGTAGAATGGGGACTATCTGGAATGACATCCCAGTGGTTCTTCCTTGAGGCCAGTGGCTGTTCCATATTGAATATATCTCAGATTATTGGAACTGCCAGGAAGGAGTCTTGAATGAGACCATATATACTTTGCATACAGCAACCCCACTTCTAGGGGATGATCACATGGGTGTGAAAGGTTGAATGCACAAGATGTCCATTGCTATATAACTTAGAATTCTATTATTAGGAAGAGTATTTATAAGGAAGGAATAATTATGGTACATGTACACAATGAAATACTATGCAGCCATTAAAATACCGCAGACAGATATTTTTACCACAGAGCACGCTTCCTAATAGACTTAGTATAATACTACTGATCTAAAACTACCCATGTGTATATGTATATCTGTATAACAGAGAGTGCTTCTGTATGTACATCTGTATAAATGTAGCAATGTACACGTGTATAGACAGTTGACCACTCCCCACTCCTAGGAGTACTTTCTGCACTTGGCTTTCAAGACACCACACTGTGTGTGCTCTTTCTCAGTCTCCTTTGCTCAGGGTCAGTCCCAGACCACTTTTCTCTCTAGCTTTCTCCCTTGGAGAGCTCGACCAGTCTCGTGGCTCCAACCATCTATATGCTGAGAAATTCTACAACTTATCTCCAGTTTGGACCTCTTCTGAACTCAAAACCCCTGCATTCAACTTCCCGCTGATATCTGCCCATGTCTAGCAGACAACACAAACTTAACATGCTCAATGCCAGGTTCCCAGTCACCCCTGACCCCACACACGCTCCTGAAGTTTTCCCTGATTCAGGAGAAGGCAACTTCATTCTCCAGGTTGCTCAGGCCAAGCCCATTGACCTCTTGCTTTCTCTACCATCCCATCTGCCCACAAATTACCTTGGCTCTACCTTCAAAATATTTCTAGAATCAAACACTTCTCCGTCCTCCACTGCCACCACCTGGAGGATTGTTGCCTCCTCGCTGTTCCCCCTGCCTCTGCCCTTAGCCCTCTTTAGTTCATTCTCAGCAGAGCAGCCAGTGATTCTGTGAAAACTGAAGTCAGACTCAGTCATCTGCTCCAGCTCTCCCAGGACCTTTCAGTCCCATTCCAGAAAGGAGCCTAAGGCATCCCAGTGTCAACAAGCTTCTGCTCTGCAGCCTCCTCTGCCCCTGTGCCCCCCCCCC